AGAGTGACCCAACCTTCATACCAGCCGAGAAAGGGAAGCTGCAGGAGTTCTGAACACAAACTGGCTACACATCCAAAAGCTGAAATGCAGTAACTACCAAAATGTTTCATGGAAACGAAACATGCTGTGGGCTGCTTGAATCCTCCTATCTTTCGTAAAAGATACCACAAGGACAGTACCTTCAACAATAGGCTGTAGTATCTGATGCTAGCTGGAAACTTGAAATGAAAACCTATTAAGTGCTTGTTACATCTGTGCAAACCCACCAACATACATTTCTCTCATTTTTCTGACTTCTCTGAAGCTGGCGGGATAGCACTGATACAAGCAGAATCTGGTTTATTTTCTTTAAATACTTAAACTCATTTCCATTCTGGCCTTCAAAGCTCCCCAAGGTACAATTTGCTCTGTTAAAAAAAAAAAAAGAGCATCAGCTTTTTTCTTTATTGCTTATTCATGTTTCCCACTTCGCAGTAATTCAGCATGGTAAACAAACAGCCTCTCTCTTATGTGCTGGTTTGAGTTCCAATTTTGGCAGTTTTGTAAACTAAAGTTTTACACTCCCACCATAGTTAGGATAACTTCATTCCCTAATGGATACTTAACACATCTAATTACTCTATTTTTGAGCTGCAAATGCTGTTGAAAAATGTCTCCATTCTTTCATTCCAGGAGCTTTCCAGCTGCAACGTTTTCTACTGAATAAAACATTTTCCGTGACTTTGCCCATAAATAATGCAGCACAAAGACCAATGTAGTCCCAACTGTACATAATAACCTCAAAATTCCACTGAGGGTTTTCTAGTGACATCATAATAAACTGCAAGAAGAAGCTGAAGATGTATTGAATTACAGTTTGGGTATATTTTATTCTTTTTTACACATGATAAGAAAACTCAGACATTTGTCACAGTAATTTAAACATTTTTCTGGACTACTACAAAACTAGAAGGGACACAATTTCAAAGCAGGATGAAGAGGCATATTTCCTATTTGTAAGGACAAACTGAATGACTGAATATCATTATTATTTATTTTGCATGTACAAATTCCCATGTTGTTTCTTCACACTCCTCATATGTAAGGCTTTTTAAACTTCAAAAATAAAAAATCAGCCTCCCTCAAAACCTCAAGATCAATGTTGACAAACATTGATGCAGAATATCATTTTACTCCCTTATAAATTATGAAGGGATTATAATTGGGACTACAGAGTCAAACAGTTGGGTTGTGTCAAAATACCCCTGCAACACTTCACGATCCCAAAGTCTGTTATTCAGATCTCAAAAGAAAATGATAACCTGATTTAACTGGTAATACCACTGTGACAGGGGAATCATTTGCTCAGGTGATTTTAGTCTGATATACATGTCTCTCTGTTCGAGTGCTTAGCCCTCTAATAGATGAAAGTGTTGAGGTTGTTAGCCCAGAAAGGAAGGATAACAACCATAGACGCTTCATTTCCAATTGGGAACGAATAAGGACTGGTAATGCCTGGGCATTTTGGGCCACAGGACACCAACTCTTCCTCCCCACCCCACCCCCATGCTCCTAATGGGGAGAGTCAGGAGATAACCATGCACTCAAAGTGCTGCTTCTCTTCTTGGGTCTGAGCTTCGGTTTCCAATTGCAAATAAGACTTGGCTGCTATTGCAGATGTTTACTTGTCCATGTGCCGTTAAAGCCTGGATTGGTTTTAGTATGTAGAAAATCCTCACCTAGAGGATAAGTGCCTTAGTGAGACCGCAGTGATCGGCTGGCATGCAGTGACACTTGAACCTAACCTATGAATTCACAGGAGGCCAAGGCTCCCCCTGCCAAGTCTACACTAGTGGCTCACTGTCTAAGGGGGCATTTCAAAGAGATTTGGAAAGCAGCTGAACCAGAGGCAGCAAGACCTTAGGTGATGATACACAGAAGATAGGGATTTGAATCAACAACTGGGGTGAGAAAAGTGAATTTTCCCTAAGGTCAGCATTGAGCCTGACTTGAAGGTCGGGTTCTTACCTTTCCGGAGGAAGAAATTCAGCAGAACTCTTCTTTAAAGCCACTCTATCATTTTTGCAAAGAAGGATTTATGGGAAAGGCTAACTTTGTCACTCTCACACACTTTCATGGACTTGTAGCCTCAAGATTAAAAACCTGCTATGGAAAAATGGCCAGCTGCCCCTTGGAGTGCTTGGCTAGCTAATGCTTCACTGTATTTTCTAGTCTCTGCTTTGACCAAGAGGAAGGATTTGGGGGTGGGGGAGGTCACTGGAGCAGTGGGAGCGAGGAAAACTCAGCATGCAGCTTGCTGAAGAAGAGGAGACTGGAGAACAAAAGGGCAGAGTGAGAGGGTTGAGACCCAGAAAGGTTCCTGTGGTATGGAGAGATGAAATGATCTAGAAAAAAGGGCTGGAAGCTGTGACAGAAAAACAGTTCACCATAAAAGGAATAGGAGAAGACAGGGACATTCACATTAGGGAGGCATGAAGCGAAAGAACCAATAGACAGAAAAAAAGAGAACAATGTGATCTGTTAATGTAGTAAGAGAGCACCTGGGAGCAGAAGGAGCAAAGATTACTAGTAAGTGAATTTTTATTGTTTGTTGCTATTAATACATCTTTGCCTTGGCAAGAAAAGGTGAATTCAGCTTTGAGCTCCCCATACATTGAAGAAGCATTGGGCTCCTCCTGATCAAAGTGTTAGAGCACAAGTACTGTGGGATGCATTTGAATGGAAAGCATAGCCTGAAAACACACAGCAACAATTTATACTTTCCCATTTCAAATACTGATACATCGATTATCTTAAACTCAATTGCTTCTTTCAAAATACGTATATGTGCATACATACGTATGTATATGTGCCACAGAAGAGTATCTGCCAGAGGCCAACAATTCTGATCCTAAATACAAATTTTTCCAGGCAGACTGGAAGTCTATGGTATATTGTTAATTTTTTTAGCTTCCAAACTACTTCTCAGAATGATAAAAATTTCTCCCTTTTCTCACATTTAAGTAGAACATTCATACCCCTCTACGTGTATATATATGTTCACCCTCCTTTCCCTCAATTCATTCTTTATCGACTTACTGGATGGAGTTCTCAATGCGTGTGATGGTGAGGAAAGCTGCTAGGTTTGCCGTATAGGAGGAGATGACAATCAAAGCAAAAAGCCACCAAGCCCCCATCATCAGTCGGGTTGCCAGGGTTGTATATGGAACCTCTCCTCCTGTGGGGAAGAAGGAAAAGCAAGAATTTTCATTTGGCAGAAGGAAATCCAGATCCTCATTGCTCATGCATTGCTCAGGAGAACTAGGCCCCAAGGTCAGCAGGGTTCTACTAAAACACTTTGATATAGTAAACTGAGCAGGACTTGGAGCCACACTTTCTATGCAATGAAAAGTACTGAAGGAAGCCCACACTGTCAGCCGTCATGACTGTATTTAATCTCTCTTGCTATTGTGCCTTTAATTGCAATTCATCTGCCAGTCCTGTCCAGTAATGGAAATAGACTTCAAGATCTCAGAACAAAAAGAGCAGAAGTAAATTCTTACAATGTTCTTTCCTTGGAGATCTTGTCTACAAACCTTAATTAAGTTTTCCTTGCATTCTTGAGAACATGAAGTTAAAAAACCTCATCAAAACACAATTATTTTTCACAGTTCTGTAGGCAGGCAGATGCTCATGAGAGCCATATGTATGTGTACAACTTGCTGCAAGTGAACTTGGATGTGCAAAAAACCTAAAAAATCACATGTATTGAAGAAGAATGCAAAATTGTTTTGTATTCCCATTGTTGCTTTCCTTTAAAATTCAACTGCCACGTAAACACAACATTAGCAGCAGCTAAACCTATCAGGACCTGAGCTGCACACCACCGCTTGTGTGAGCAGAGCCCCGTTTAGCAAGCCATGAAAAGCATTATTTTTTATTCAAATAGCTGCCCCCAAAACACACTAGTTCAGAGTCTTTGAAAGAACTCTTTCAGTTAAAGACATATGAACCACAGATTTTTTAGATGAAGGAAAATTCATTGTTTAAAAATACCCATTTCGTCTACAGTATAAGTTTTGTCACAGCTACAAGTAACTAGGCGGAACAGGTGAATGCAGCAATGACCCACAGTCAACAGCTCAAGATGTTCACCCGTTTCCTCTCCCTCTATACTCAGCAATTTTAAAAGTTGTCATTAGTTTTGAGGTAGCTTTCTCAGATGCAAAATCTTATGATGGTACAATAGCTGGGATTTTCAAAAGCAAAAGCAGTTTGTTACAGATTCAATCATCTGTAAGTATTTTGTGCTGGATCTTCACTTATGTAAAAACTCCTTCACATTTCCCCAGCAAGTAGGTTTAATAGGAATACAAATTACAATTATTCCCATTCCAAGTACAAATAATTTTCAATTACGTACACAAACTAGATATTTAATCAATGCTTGAATATGAAGGATCACCTTACTGTTTTGTTCAAAGTTTGTCCTACCTATACAAAGCACTGGGAACTCTGCATCACCATACAGTAAACAAATTTGAAGCTTTCTTCCTACTTCAGTGATGTGGAGTTGTACCATATGTGAAATAATAACTGACTCCATTCATTTATATTTTTGGTATGCAAGTATTGAAAACCTTTGCATTTTAAGAATTCCAGTATTGAAAGACAAAATTTATATTAGACCTGCACAGTCGGAAATAAATTTCCTTTTATTTCCAAGATGCCATGTAATTATCTGAAATAAGAATCTACCAATCAGATTGGAAGATATTATTTCAATATAAGGACTTTCGAAGATGAACATTAACTTCAACATCTAAAGATTTGGTTTTCTCTCCCACATAAATTTTAAATGATTTTTAATAGAATATTTCTACTTTACAAGTTTTTGCAAGGTCTTTGGAATATTTAATTTTAAAATTATTTTTAATACAATGAAAAGAGCAGACAGCTATATCAATTTATCGGAACAGGCTGTTTGTCCTTTTAACTTTCAGGTGCCAATCCCTGCAGATAATCTTCATATTGAATTGAAATGGGTAGAGTGATAGAGAAGCCGCCAATGATCTCCTGGACATCCTTGCATTTTCATTTTTCAGCTTAATGAGTAAAACTTTAACTTCTCACATTTTTTTACTGAAATGAAATGTCAGAAAAGACCACTGAAAGTCACACACCTGCCTTCTAGTTTTCAAGAGAGGATGCTGTGCTACAAGTGACCATGAAAGCCGTCACAGACCCCACAGCCACAGCATTCCCCTACTGTTCATATGGTGCAGTTTTCCTATGTATCAGTAAGGTTGTCTCCACTATTCACCGTTACTTTTCTTTTTTAACACCCATGTTAACAATAGACTTTAAAAAACTGTGAGTGCTGGTCATCCCAAGTGCTTTTAGTTCACCCAGGTGTTTGTGAAGTCTTGTTCCTAATTCACAGTTGTACCTTGTATTATCAGCAGTTAATAAATGAAACTTGAGAACAAAGCTTGCATCCAAGTACATGTACAAGAAACACATATCAAAATAATTAATCACTCCTGCCCCTACTCTAAAATCTTTGCACTGACGCTTCTTAAACCACCATTTCTAAAGCAGGACTGACACTGCAACTGCATAGGTACATGATTTTTAAGCAGTACAGGCAGGCTACTCCACCTCTCCCAGTGAAAGAAAGAAAGAAATAAAAATCAAAGGAGATCTTTTACTGCCACAGTATCATTTCTTTGGCATCTATTAGGAGACTTAATGCAATACAGTCTTTTTCTATTGTACTGTTTGCTAAAACACTTCCTGCACCATGACAGCTCACCTTAAGAAACCTCTTCACTCCCTTCCCCCAGTTTTGTTACTAGGGATAAAACTTTCCAGAGTTTTCTTTCAGTCCAAATTTACATGTTTTCTCAGTGCAGAAGAGTACCACATAATTCAGGAGAGCAACAATCATTAGTTTTCTATTAACATCACCATGAAAAAGAGCTGCAGACCTAACGGTCGCTGTTGTTGACTGTAAATTAGTATGCAGAAGGGATATACATGCAAACCTCCCAGGGCTCTGCTTCCCAATGTCTAGCATGAGTTTCAGCATATGATGACAGCATATTCTAGTTACGAGGGGCTATGCACAGGACACGCAATGCGAGGGTAGAGGGAACCAAGAAGATAAAACAAGTCTTTCCCTGCTGTTGTCTTTCATATCATACCAGCAAAGCTTAATAACCCCTAATGGCAAAGGGGACCACCTGGTGCCACGTAAACTCACATTGGTGACCAGAGTAAAATCCATCCCATCACACCTTGTTTCTGCAAAATTCATCAGTGGGAGTTAACATGCTGGTTGTGGTTACACTAAAAACACTACTGTTGTAGCATGCTAAGCAACACTTAAAAATACTGACTTCCACTCATGAAACAAATGGAGACACTCAGCAGTCCTGGAGCAGCATGCTTTGTCATCCTAAGAGACAGTCCTCATATGAATACAGAGGCTGTATTATTCTTTGGACTTGGCCCTTCCAATACATTGGCAGAAGGGTATAATGCTGCACAGTACCTGTAGATCACCTATGTTGTGGCTACCTAGTATAATTCAGCTGACACTTTTGATGCGTACTAAAAATCATTTAAAAATCTAATCTGCCTTTAAAATTTTCAGATTGCATGTGCAGGAAGGAAAAGATATTTTCCAGAGTAAACTGAACTAGCAAAAAGCAATCTTATTGGGAGCTTTCTGAAAGAACTGAATTACCATGGAAGTGACAGTGAAAGAAATTACTTTTAGTCCTCCCACTCTCATCTCATGCAGCTCTCCTTCATCAATCCTAGACCAGTTTAATGCTGGCCTACTTCAAATGACAGGCTTAGACTGCAACTTATCTTATGAATTTTTGTTTATTCCCATTTCTTCCCAAGTGTTTTAAGCTAAGTATCAGAAGGTAAGAAAAATAATGCATTGTCTTGACAATGCAAACAATATAATGTATAATTATGACAGACCTCAATATCAGGAAAAAACCCACCTTAGGTGATAAAATGTGAACCTATATAATTCCCATACAGATTTCTAATACCTTTTAAGTTATTCTCCCTTGTAAGCAGTAAGTTTAAAGGTTTCTTCAAGTCAAAAATTGCAAGAGAGGATTACAGGCAAGAAGGAGGAATGAAATCATGAGAAAAATAGGCAAACTGAGGATCACAGCCTGGTGAGATCTTGGTATTCTATAATTCTGGACTAAATTCTGGACTAAATTCCCACAGCATTCTCTTAGAGAAGCTGGC